CCCCCCCCCCCCAAAAAAAAAAAAACCCAAAACAAAAAAAAGTTCCATGCAATCCTGTTGAGTACCTTGGGGTAGGGGAGAGAAGAACCTAGAATCCTTTCCTAATTTAGAGACAAGGATTCTGAATGGATGGCCAAGGGCTCTGAAATGTCAGTATGTGAGATGAGACTTGAAGTTATGGGTGGTGGGACAGAGGATGGATAGGGAACCAGGGCTCTCAGGACAGAAGAAAAAAATGCACAAATCCCCAGGATGATCATGGGGTTTGGGGGAACTGGGAAGAGCTCAGAATAGTTGGGGTCCTTGGTCCTGTGTGGAACAGGCAGAGATGAGGTTAGGAAGGCAGACAAGAACCACATATCACAAGAGCCTAACGGGTCTGTCCTTTATCCTGGAGATGATGGGGAGCGGTTTGTATTTAAACAGGGCATCTGTAATATTGAATTACCCTGTGGAAGGTGGTTGTAAAAATGAAGGGTGCAATGATTCCAGGCTATAGCAGTGGGAATGATTACAGAAAGTGTTGAAATGGTTAGATTAAAAAACGGAGGATAAATTATTTGTGTACCTCAAAAACATGTGAACATTGATACACAATTGAGACATGTGGGTAGTTCCTTTGGGCTATCTTTCTGGGATGGCGCTGGCTGTTTCCTTGGAGACTTTCTTTCTGCATTTCACTGTGCCTTCCTTCTTTTATTTGGCAAGTTCTGTTGTTATTCAATAGAATCAGGGCTGATGCCCTTTTCTCGGAATAACTAATTGCTTGTCATCATGACTGCATGATAGTAACTGCTCTCAATCGTGCAGTAGTGTGCTGTGTTCTAAGAACAGAACACACACTTTGGAGTTTGTAAACTTAGGCTTGCATCTCACCTCTAGTAGTTGGTAGCTGTGTGACCTTGGGAAGGGCATTTGTCATATCTGAAACTCAGTTTTCTCATTTGAAAAATTCGGATTATGAAAATACCTAACGTACAGTGCACTTGAAATGTTAGGGGTACTGTATGGAAAGCACCCAACACACAGTTGTTATTATTATGATGCCCTACCCAACTTATTGCACCTGCTCTTTGACTTAAGTGAAAAGTAGGCAAGCCACAGCCCCAGGACCAAATTGGCCCTCTACCTGTTTTTGTAAATAAAGTTTTATTAAAACACAGCCGCCATCATTTGTTTATGTATAGCGTATGGTTTTCTGCTTTTCTGCTATGATGCCACAGAGTTGTGACAAAGTCTCTGTAACCTGCAAAGCCTAAACTATTTACTATCTGGCCCATGATAGAAAAAGTTTGCTGATCCCTGACTTAGGTTTTTCCAAATGCTCTGTCTCATAAAGTTCTTTTCTCTTTAGATTTTCTCTTTGCCTCCATGCTTGTGTCATTTGGTTATCAATAAAGTGTGTCTATGTACAGAAGTTAAAACAACAGTTTTTCAAGAAACTATGTAAACACTAGTCTAGAAGGAAGAATTTGTATGCAGTTTCTTCTGAAAACCAAGTAAATGATTTAACAAGGTCTTGCCCTGTAGCATGTATTTCTAAGTTGTGAATTTGCACATAAGGTTAATTTTGGTATTCCCCTGTCTGGTAATGATTAATGTAGGCTAAATTTGCCTAGAACATCTCATCTGCAAGTGTCCTCGG